CAATTATGCTCTACCAACTGAGCTCAGCTCGGTGTGGATGCATACTCAGAGTAACATCACAAACATATTCACCTGAGTAAATAACACCAACACACACAAGAAGTATATTGTAAATTGTTGTTATTTTATTATGGATTCCTACATATTTATTTTATTATGGATCCCTACAATTGGGTCATTCCAGAAAACATCCATACCGCCCCCACAGAGGAAATAGGAAGTTAACCCCCCTACCCCCTTCGGATGTCCTAATACATTTACTATTATCAGAAACAATTTTTTCTCCCCTCCCCCTCCGGACGGCAGAAATTTCCTCTGTGGGGGGAGTATGGATCTTTTCTGGAACGACCCATTATAACAGTGACATAGATTACTAGGCTAATGCGGTAAATTGTTGTTATTTTATTTTGTTATGGACAAAATTTCTCCAGATCCATGGATCTTTTTTGGCAATAGATATCAACTTGATCAAAGCTTTATTTTCCTCAAAGGTCCATTTATGTTTTTTTCACTGGTAACTTCTCTGACAGAGTCAGCCTGATCTTTCTGCTAGGAAACTACAAAAAAGTATGTCATTTACTAAAATGGAAATTGGGGTGCAGATGACATATGAATAAACATACATGAATAATGTTACACTGCAGAATAATGTTACACAGAGGTATTAAGGTGGAGTAATACAGACAACAAAATAGCTGCAATTTGCAACAAAATCTGATTTCAACAGATGTTAAGTGGAGATGTTGACACATAACTTAATACAAGTCATAGAAATGTTGACAGATGTTGCCTCGTACATGCGTTGAAATCAGATTTTGTTGCAAGTTGCAGCAATTTTGTTGCTCGTATTTACTCCAGCTTTACACTGAATATACAAAGACAATTTATAAGAATAAAATAGCAAAGAATAACAGTACATTTATAAGTACAATTTCGTCTACCATATTTTTTTTATTATACCTTTGCTGATGTGCCAAGACTTTGAAACAAAGCTCGATTGAATGGAGTGAATGATGAACTCTCCACACGAGATATTTTCCTGGCGTATCAGTATTAAATTTGAGTTTCCTCATTTTCTAAATCATGATCAACAATGACAACATCGCCATCATTAATAGTTCCTTTTTTTCTCCAATAAACTCGAATAAGTCGAATTCTATAAAAACAAATGATACAATCAGGAACAATACGTTTATAGAAAAGCTGGCTTGTTTACGTTGCATTCGCGCCATATTTCCTGTAGAATTCCTCTTTTCCCGCGATTGGTGACAACAAAAGTAAAAATACCCCATTTTCAAACAACGATTACTCGTCTGTTTCAGGGGGTTATTTATGTTTTAAGGTACCAATAGAAAGAGTAACCCTTACTGAATACAATGATGTGAATTTTATTGAATTTCTCGATTTATAAACCTAATAACCCCCTGCATATATCAAAGCCGTTTTCGTGTCATGGCACTATACCGGGAATATACCCCATTTTCAAACCGCGATAACTCGTCGGTTGGAGGGGATTATTAATGTTTTAAAGTATCAGCTAGAACCGTGACCCTCCCCGAATTCAATGATGTGAATTTTGCTGAATTTCCCGATTTATAAACTATTTAACCCCCGGCGTATATCAATGTCATTTCTTTTATAGCCCCGAAATATACCCCATTTTCAAACCGCGATAACTCGTCAGTTCGAGGGGGTTATTTGTGTTTTGAAGTATCAATAGAAAGAATAACCCTTTCTGAATTCGATGCTGTAAATTTTGTTGAATTTCCTGATTTAAAAAGTATTTAACCCCCGGCGAGTATCGGAGGCATTTTTGTAACATGTGCACTGACCCGAAACCAAGGGTAATTCAATGCGTGATTAACATCACTGAAGCATGATACGACAACCACATAAAACAAAAATTGTGCAATTAAGGTCACAAATAAAACAATTATAAAAACGTACCTTCCAAAAATCAAAATTTTCAGAGTGAAAATTCGCGATAGAAAACCACAATTTTTCGACAAACATCTCTCAAAGACTCGCAAAGTTCAATTTCGAATATTAATGAGAAGCAATGCATTGTGGTATAGTGACCACTCCTCCTCTGGTCAAATGCATTGCATTTTTAATTAGTTTAATAATTTTGAGCGATTTGTGAACAATACAATTTCGCTTGTCTTTCAAAGGCCATAAATCGCTAGAATACTGTAGTTTAGTAATACATTTGATATCTGTGAGTATAATTTCTTACACTGAATCGAACGGTGGTATTGTTGTCCTTATTGGGCGCATAAAACCAGAGACAAGTCGCAGCAAAAAGTCAATCGTGAAAGTTCGATCGAGATTAATTCGAAAGAAAACTTTCCTCGAAAAAAGGAATTCGGAAAACGTGAAGGATTATTTTGAGCGGCTTTTGTCTTTCAAAGGCTACAAATAGGTAGAAGTCAATTTTGAAATCAATTTTCCATCCGTAAACATAACTTTTCACGCTGATTCAAACAGTGGTATTTTTGTCCTTGTTTTACGCATAAAACCAGAGATAAAACTGAGCAAACAGTCGATCATCATGACAGTACACGATTAATTAATAAATTCATAAATTCCGAGCGCGTGCAAGGAATTTTTTGTAGGCGATTAAGGAAACGTATTGATGCGAACAAACTAACAAACGGACAAACTAGCAAACTAACAAACTAACAAAGTAACTCACAGGCAGAATATAATGCGATGCCAAAAATGGCACGGGCACCGCAATTATTTAAGCAGCTGTTAGCGTGCGTACGTGTACATGAAATGAACGTTTATAATGTTTATCCATATAAGGAGTTTTTATTTTTAGTTTACCAGCTAGCCCTTATATTTGAATAGCCGAATTCGTATTAATGATATTAGGGACGCGAAACTCGTCTTACACGGGAAACTCGTCTGTGAAAACCCGTCTGAATATGATTTTGGGACGGATAAATTCAAATTTAAGACGAGTTTCCCGTCTAGATTAGATGTCGGTCTAACTTTCCCGTCCGCTTAGACCGGTAAGTTAGACGGGGAAGTTCATACGCGAAACTCGTCTGTTCCCGGATTCATATTAGACAAGATTCCCGTCTAATACGAGTTTCCCGTCTCTGATATGAATTCGGTTAATGTCTGTTAAAACTGCAAGGTTTCCACTATTGATCTCGATTGTTTCTTGATGATAGTAGACGCGTACGCATGCATTTTGTGCTGGCCTCAGAATGACAAAACGTAACAAAGCTTTACACTAACCTTATTCCGAACACCAACTTTATAACTTAACCCTAATCCCTACCATAACCCTGGCTCCTTATTAAATAACATACCGTAGTTAATAATTTAATCACCATTTCTTAGTCTTTTACTTTTTCGGGACAAAAAAACTATTTGAAAAAGACCAGGGCCAAAAGCGCCAGGGCCGCACATGCAGGGGGAGAAAGGGGGGGAGGGGGGACAAAGGGAGCATATTTCTCCGCGACCCCAGCTCAAGGAGGGCCGGCAAATACAAATTTGCAAGGGGATGGAAAGTCTGTCGATGGAGGGGAGGATAATTATGGTTCACCGGGGCCCCAAAGGAATAATTGGCCCTGAGCCACCATATTTCACTGAGCTGGCCTGGGCTGCGCCAGTAATTCTCCGATGGGGAGAGTCATCGGAGCTCTCTTTCGA